AACGGGAAAAAATTATATAGTTTTTTTTGATTCTTGACCCGGTCAAGAGAAAAAGAAAAAAAAAAAAAAAAAAAAAAAAAAGTATCATTTAATATTCAAAAATAACTCAGTTACCAGAGATTATAACTTCTTGTTCCAAAATGTAAAAATTGTCCTCTGTGCTGCTTTCTCTGTCTCAAATCAGATTTTTACACTCAATCTGTGGTTAAAAATCCCCCCATTAAAACTATTTATTTATTTTTTTTTGCAAATAAACACTTCAAATAATTTAGTACGTACTTTAGCCTGATTTGACAAATCTAAGTGATGTAGATTTTCAACAGACTTGAACTAACCCAGATGCCTTAAAGATCTTTGAAATATTTATTTACCATACTGCCAAATTGGAATCCAACTACATTTTTTTTTATTTGATAAATTTGAATTCTGTTATCTTATCAAAAATATATTGGAGAATTTTAAAATCTGAGTCTGCAATAAAATTTGGATCATAAAACAACTTCTGTGCTAAAATGGTACAGAAAGAGAGCATATAAATTTATTTAATTTCTCATGTGAGCATTGATAGACTTGTATCCTAAAAGACTGCGATGAAGCTTTATTATTTTTTTTCATCACAGTAAATGCAGTAAAATTTTGTGATGAAATACAAAGTTTTCAGATCAGAGGCCCCTTAAAATCCCAGCTCCATCTTCTCCATTTCACACATCCTTGGCCTTTTATTTTGGGGCTACCTCAGAAAGTCCAACCCACGTCCCATTGGACTGATCAGGGTGTTCAAACCCTCCCATACAGCTGTTACAGCGTCATGCCCAGAAAATTTAAAGACTGCAGTACTTGTCGAAAGTGCGTGGCAGTGTAGCAAGGAGGATAAAAGCTGGAACTCATTATTTTTAAGGCGTCCGGTGGAAGGCTGTTGTACACTGCTGCGTACTCCGTGACCCATCCACGTCTCTCCGACCTTCACCATCAGTCAGGGTTGTACTTAGGAGGGCAACAGACTGGCTGCTCAGGCCTGCAACAAACTTCACTCAGGGATTCAGCATAGCTCTCTCTGTGGGGCCGAGGCTTTGCTTTGTAATAAATGACACCTTTCTGCCAGCCATTGCCTCATCAGAAGAGGTCAGAGGATGAGATGGAGTCCCGGGTTGGAAAGTGGAGGGGGGGTACGGGGTTGTTTCAGGGAAAGAACACTCTGTGCCAGAAAATGCAGCACTGGCTTCCTCCTGCTGAGCACAAACAGCCCCTGAATGGTTGGTGAGACCATGCAGTCTGGAGGTTCTGATTGGTTTCAGAGTCAGTCAGGAGGAGGGGCTGAGGATCATCCCCTCACAAAGAAAGACAGTATTTCTAAATATAAATCATAGCAAAATCTATAGCAAATAGATGTATTTTAATGCTTCCATTTGGTTCTCAACTGCTTCGAAAAACAGCCTAAGCACTTAAAAAAAACCCCACTAATGAATAAATTGAGATTTTTTTGGTGTCTAGAAAATGAGCCGTTTCATACATCTCCCGATTGTCGAGTGACAATTGACAGGCAACACCAGCTATGTCACCTAGCAACCCAAGCAAAGCTCCAGCATTGTTTGGTCAGCGAGTTGTACAGATGTGTGCTCTGTACAATGGCTGCTGGAAAAAAGACTTTGTTGTTGTTACCATTCAGAAACCACTTGCTGCATTCTTGTCGGTTGAGCAGGGCGCGATCCTTCTGCTTTTCAAAGATGCGTGGTTGTGTAATTGCACATCTGTTTGCAGCCATTTTCACGTGTGATGGTAAACTTTGAGTTGGGGGTGGGGGGATGTGGCCAGTAAAAGCTTATTTGGATTGAAAGTGACAGGAGGCCCTAAAACAGCTCCTTTGAAAGGAGCTCATGTTAGGCAGAACAGAGCGGACTGAAATCTCATTATCTAAGAATGAGTTTGTGCTCAAAATGTAATGAACATGTTTTGTATGACCAATACACTTATCCTAACATGTTCAAGGAAGCATAATAGGTCACCTTTAAAGTTAACTTTTGCTCTAAGTTACAGTTTTACACTAAGATGATAATCTAGAGCATTATAAGTAAGTTAGGAAAGGTTGTTTTTTTTCTGACTGTTGCTTGTTGCAAATATAATTGGCTCAATTGATCTTCATTCATTAACCAACAAAATCCTTGATTTTCCATATTGCATTTTATGTTTGGATATAACCGACATCATGTTCGTATAACTTACCCAACTCCTTCATTTGTTTTAAATAAGTCATAGTGAGTAAAACTACACACGTTAACAGGAGGCAGCAGCGTGCGTCATATCTCGTTTGTAGACTTTATTTTGTTTGAAAGACTTGATGGAGGCAGGAAGTTGTAACCACCGTTCTATCATGCAACAGCATCCTTTAAGCATCAGTTCCTACAAACTTCCCTTTGTTTAGTTTATGTTTAAACACAGCTTGTGGCTGACCTAAAAAAATGACGATAAAAAACGACGGCTTATTAGTTCTTCCAGTTTTTTTCCACTCTTTGATATGCTTCTTCCTTGCTCACAGAACTGACAGACTAACGAACAGGAATAACGCCATGCTGTAATTCACTTTAATTAGCTGTTAGCTTGTCTTTATGGCAGACAATCATAGCTGACCTGCGAGGAGTTTGAGCAGGACAGCTTATGTTCCGGCTTTTATGTTGAACCTCTTTACTGACTGATATTAGAGATGAGTGAACCCCTCATGTATGTGTTAACGTTTAAAGGGCAGTTTTAGATTTTGTTTCCCTGTAAGTCCTTCATGTTTTTATTTAAACATGGTGAGCATTTACATCTGCCAATGCTTCATTTTGTGTGCCTTATTAGTTCACCTGCCATCAATTATAATGTCCCTTTAATTTTATTATTTTTTTTTTTTTCAAAGGGACATGTTCATGCAGAGAAGGTTTTTCTTAATAATTAAATATTCCTCCCTCTCTCTGTACTTTTTTTTTTTTTTACTTCAGAGTGTCCTGAAAAGTGTGGAAGGCGAGTGTGCACAGCTGACGGCGAGTGCTGCCATCCTCAGTGTCTGGGCAGCTGCTCGCTTCCGGGCGACGACACTGCATGCGCCGCATGTGTGCATTACTACCACAACGGCAGATGTGTGGCTGACTGCCCTCCAGGCACATACAGGTTCGAGGGCTGGCGTTGCATCAGTGCTGACTTTTGCTCTAAAGTGCACCTTCCAGACTTCGACATCTTCGTCATCCACGGGGGAGAATGTATGCCTGACTGTCCGTCTGGGTACACGCGATCCACACCTGACAGGTAAACTCACGTTAAACCCGAAGTATAGTCTTTCACAATTTGTCACGTTGTAGCCACAAACTTCTTTTTTTTTTTTTTTTTTTTTTTTTTTTTTTTTTTTTTTTGTGGATTTTAAGTATATGCTGTACAGAACACAACTGTATCATAAATACATGAAAAAAGTACAATCTTTCTTCCACTTTTAGTCACTCTGTTACGTAATACTTTGTTACAAAAAATATGTTTTGTTGCAATTTCAGCTACAAGGTTTCCTCTTTACCAACTTTATGAATCTAGTAGCTAATTTATTTTTACCCGTTCTTCATAATCTAGCTGTAACTAAATATTTTTGAAAGACACACTACAGGCTATAATTTCCCCTGAAAAGGGTTTTTCTTCACGTTAGTTTCCTAAGTTTTCAGTGTTTGTGACCTACGGTGAAGTCGGAACAAAAAAAAAAAAAATCTTAAATGAGCAGAAATAATGAGAGCTTTGGAGACTGCCAAAGTGTATAGTGATGGTGTACATTTACCACCTTTCCCTTTTTACCTGCCTGTGTAACCCTCAGCATGTCGTGCACCGCCTGCGATGGCCTGTGCGATAAAGTTTGTGACGGGAAGGTCATCGACTCTGTGGATGCTGCTCAGTCTCTCAAAGGCTGCACTGTTATCAAGGGCGACCTGCAAATCACCATCCGCAGAGGCCGTAAGTACTGCAGCACCACACTTCATTTATTTTTACTTTAAGGGTTGATGTAAAAGTTATTGTTGAGTTTAAACGGTATACACCAAAGAGATTTTCTGATTTTCAGAATAGGGAAGTTGGCTGAGAAGTTTCTAAACTGGGAATCCTTTTTGAATCAATTTATGCATCTCAAAAAAAAAGCTCTGTTTATTTTTTTTAAGTTTGGAGGGAATAATAGGTTTAGTTTCTTGAATTGTTCTGCTAATTACTGAATAAGCTGCTTCTATATTCACCTGGCGTAACAGAACAGAATTAGAAGCAAGTGTTGCTTTACTGTGCAATGACTGAAGTCTGAGATGCACATCCAGTCTGTAAATAAGTGGAAAATGTCCTAAAACCTCTCTGTGTACGTGCGTTTGTGTGTGTATGTGTGTGTTTTCAGATAACATGGTGGCAGAGCTGGAGAGTTTCACAGGTTTGATCCAGAGGGTGACCGGTTATGTCCGGATCAGACATTCACACACCCTGAGTTCACTGGCGTTCCTCCGAAGTCTGAGATACATCGATGGAGAAAGCCTTCACGAAGAGTAGGACCACTCAACACACACTTAATCAAACCAGCAGAACTCTGATTTTTTTTACCCAATAGCCATTACCCATTTCTCATTTATTTGTTGGGAGTGGTCTGATCATTTTTTCTATCAGTTTGTTTTAGTCATTTTAATCTTTTGTCTGTCTGGTATATATAGATGGACAGTTGTCTAAAGACTTAGATTGCATGTTTTTATTACTTAGTTTTTAATTAATTGTTTTTTGTAATTGATATCAGTTATTCTGTTACTCTATTATACTGTACACAACTCTGGCACTTTCAATATACAAACACGAATAAGAAACTGACATCATGTAAAAAAAAAAAACACTGTTAGGATTCCTTAATTTGATTTAATGTACATCTTGCTAGATGTACTGAACGATTATGCATAGAGTCTTCAGCCATTTTGGAATCACGAGTGGAAACCAGAATACCTTTTCTCACATTCTCCTGTAAATAGCATATCCTGAATATGGTAGAGACCCAGTTGAGGTCCACAAGTGGTTCAGAGATGGTTCAGCTGCAGAAACTTCTGAATTTATAGGCGAAGTTACAAGATTTCCACTGTAAGCAGTAATACAACTATATTTATTGAAACTGTCCAATTGCAGTTTTGCTAATTACTACTCGACAAGCTTTCCTTTGAGTGCTTCTCTAGTTACTGTGGAACAAACTAGAATAATTCTCTTGATCATCTGATTTTTAATGGCACATTCAGTGATTGGGCATAACTTTTTCACCGCTTGCCTAATAGCACTTTGCTCCCCCCTTATCCTATAAAAACAACCCTGACCTGTCGAGACATGGTCTCCTCTAGATCCTTGATGGTAAGCTGTGGTATCTGGCACCAGGATGTTAGCAAGCAAATCCTTTAATTCCTCTAAGTTGTTAGGTGGCTTCTCCTTGGAAATGTTTGTCCGGCATATTCCATAGATGCTTGATTGGATTAAGATCTGGGAAAGTTGGAGGGAAAGTCAAAGTGTTGTGCTTCTCAAAGCATTCCTAACCCGTTTTTTCTTTTTTTTTTTTCTTTTTGGCTACTGAAAAAGGAAACAGCCATATGAAAATATAATTTTCATGAAATGAAACAATATTTAGAAATGATTCCATAATTATTTTTGGATTCTGACTAGATCTGCAATAATTAGTAATTGATTGATTTATCATATTGGAAAATAATTAGTGATGCAAATAACCAAATAATTCAGTTCCTTTTTTTAAATAAGGAAACAAACTTTTCATTGGCTAAAATGCAACAACGTAGTGAATTTGAACTAGGCAAGTTAAAACTATGCCCCTTCAGGGGCATAGTTTTATTTCCAAAGAAGTTTTTATCTTAAATGCAAAATGTCTATATATTGTTTTGACCAGTTTTGGCTTAGTTACTGCTCTGACTATGTTTTGCGAGCCTACTGTAACTCGTCCTTTTTTTGAGCCTATATGCTAGAGTTATCTCTTAATCTATTGCTAAATTAGTTGACGATTATTTCAAGACTATTCATCACGATAATCATTTCAGCCCTAATTCTGATTTATATCCTTCACAGCTTGATTGAAATACTGGCATTTTTCAGAAAGAAATGTAAGAGAAACACAAAACAATCTTTTTTGTATCTGATGATGTGGCTGTGGTTTCTCATTTTAAGCTCAGGAGAAAACTGGAGGAAATATGGCGCAGTAGTGACATTGCCAAGAACTGGTTGTTCTTTAAAAATTCAAACAATAAGAAGAAAAGGGCAACATTAGAGATGTAGTACATGTCACAGCACTGGGCTCGGGAACAGAGAGGCAAGACGGAAGCCTTTAATTACAAATAAAAATATCCAAGCCATTATAAATTGTGCAAAAAATAATTTTAAGGTCTCTCAAATGCTTGTAATGTTGTGGTCTGAGTAAATGAAGGTTGAACCTTTTGGCCATAATTCCGTTTAGCAGAAACACGGCACCAGACTTTGAGAAGCATCATGTTTAAGACACTTTTTCTCAAGCTGGATTTGTCTTTACCCAGGTGAATCTCTGGTCCGCTTGTTTAGTCATCACAATTTGATCCAAACTCACTCAAATCCTTCACTTCTCTGCTTGCAGGACAGAGTTTGAAGACAGAATTTTCACTTGTTTTTAGTAGTCAACCAACAGTCAACTAACAAGTGCTGTGAGTGTGTTGTTCACTTTGCGTGGCGGTAGTCGTACTGTTTTGCTTGATTGTACAGTCTACACAGTCCTTGAATGCAGCATAATCTCCAGCAGTGCCTGGAAAGGTTCTTAAGGTCGTGGTGAGGCCTTCACCCCTCCTTCATCTGTTTGTCTTTTGAGTTCACTGGAGTCTAACTGTCCCAAGGTCCACGTTATACTCATTCCTTGATGTTTGGATGTTACCCAGTGATTCATAAATTCCTATCTGGTTTAATAAAATAACTTACTAGGTGATTTTGTCTGTTTGCAATAAACTTCCAACTTAAAAACAGGTCTATTTGAAGAGTTAAAAAAAGAAAAAAAAAAGGAGAGAGTTTGCTTTCAGTCTGGCATGATTCATTACAAACACAAATTTAGAGTGAAGCACCGTGTTACTGAATCGCATTCCCTATCTTGTTTATCTGGTTTGTCCCTCCAGCACGTATGCCTTCTCAGCATTCGACAACCAGCAGCTCCAGTACCTTTGGGACTGGAAGCAGCACAACCTGACCATAAAAGCGGGCAAGCTGTTCTTCCGAGCCAACCCGAAGCTGTGTACGTCCGAGATCCGCAAGATGTGGGAAAAGACGGGCGTCCTCGGCCGCTTTGAAGAGAGAGACTTCCGAAACAATGGCGACAGAGCCAGCTGTAAGAGTCGAAACGAACCTCCGTCCAAAAGCCACAAACATTTAAATTGCTATGTCCAGTTTACTCTAGTTTAGGAGCAGTTTGCAAACACCTCCTATGTACTCATTCCCCCCTCTGCACCATATGTCAGGGTTTAGAGCGACGTACTCTTTGCACGACTAATTGTAGCTTACTTTAGATTGAAGTACTTTTGGTGAGCTTGCCTTACTATTTGCTGCCCTCTTAGGTGAAAGCACCATCCTGCAGTTTACATCCAACACCACCAGCGACAAGAGGATCAAGCTGACATGGCAGCGCTACCGACCTCCTGACTACAGAGACCTCATCAGCTTTATAGTCTACTACAAGGAGGCGTGAGTTACTCACTGCTGTTTTAATCTAACTCGAAGTACGACTCGGTGGAGGAAAAAAAAAAAAAAGCTGAACAAACCCGTTTTGATTTGGTGCTAGAGCAAATGTCTCATTCTTCTCTGGATATGTTGAATTTCTGCCGCTTTGGGCAATTAACTGAAGATTACAAATTGACCAATCCTCTTTGTAGGCCGTTCCAGAACATCACAGAGTTTGAAGGGCAGGATGGTTGCGGGTCCAACAGCTGGAACATGGTGGACGTGGAACTGAGGCCAGATAAGGAAAAGGACCCCGGGGTTCTTCTTTCCGGCCTGAAACCCTGGACGCAATACGCCATCTTTGTCAAAGCTATCACCCTCATGGTGGAAGACAAACACATGCCCGGCGCCAAGAGCAAAGTGGTCTACATCCGCACCAGCCCTGCTGGTAGGAACGATGATTTCATACCTTTTTACACCCAATCATTAGGTTTGCGAGGAATGTATGTCTGTATTTTTAGTCAATTGGAGCCAAATTGATACCTTAATGAAAGAGATGAATTACAAAATTTGCAAAAAAGTAAAAATCGTAAAAACTAGAGCATTGGCACTGAAATAATAATATTTTTGCTCTGATTGCCTTCAGTTCATCTCCGTCGGTGTCTCCGATTTTTTTTTACTACAGTTTCCCTCCACTTAACTTTCCATACATGGTCATGACATTTCAATATAGAAACCTCCTGTTTTATTGATCTTGTGTCACTATTTGATCTGTGAGAAGCTGTATTTCACGTTTTTGTTAAACATGATAAGCCGTATTCATTAAAATACACAGTATTATGATATTCTAATTTACTGAGATCCATATTATTTCTGTTATTCCACACTCTTGTATGGCACACCAGTGTAACTGGATACCCTCTCATTTCTTTTAGGCTTCATTTCTTTCATTTTCTTTGAGCAATTACTGCCCTCTGGTGACTCCCAGACTGCACTACAACCTAGTCAATTAACACCCAGAGAGAGAGTAGTTAGGACAATAGGCGCCTAACAGTCCTAATCATATAATTGCGATGCCGTAAAGCCTAGCCTAAAACTGAATCTACCTGGGATTAGATGTAACAGTACAACAAATCATCACAACTTGCAGATCAGCCCATTTCTTGTTCTCACCTGAAAAAAAAAAAAAAAAAAAAAAAAAAAAACCTCCTGCAGAGGGTAAACAGATATTCTTTTTCGTGGGATTTTTTATTTTTTTTTAGCGACATTACGGCTTCTTGTCAGAAACTTATTCAAACACATTTTCGGAGATGAGCGAAGGATCTTTGAAATAAACACAGCTGCAACTCAAAGGCAATGAGCAGCATATTGATTTACAGAACTGTAATTCAATTAGATGAGACGGAGGACTGCATAAAATAAATCCAGCTGCAGTGTAAAGGCATAGCGGTGCTGTGATGTCAGAGAAACACAGCTGCCCTGGCAGCCTGCAAGGAGAGCGCTTTCCCTGCAGTTCCTCAAGTTGTGCTTTTCTTCTTTCAGCGCCCTCCATGCCTCAGGATGTGCGGGCCTACTCTAACTCCTCCACGCAGCTGATGGTCCGCTGGTCGCCCCCCGTCTCACCCAACGGAAATCAGACTTACTACTGGGTGAAGTGGCAGAAACAAGCTGAAGACAAGGAGCTGTACCAGCATAACTACTGCTCCAAAGGTAGCTGTTTACCGTAAGGCTTTCTGCTGAAGGCAGCTCGATGGGACATTCATTCTTCTCCCTCCTCCCATCAGAGCTAAAGATCCCCATTAGGATTGCTGCCACGGGAGACAAAGAGGAGGATACAAAGCCCACTAAACCAGATCCTGATGGAGCAGATAAAGGTCCTTGCTGCCCCTGCCCCAAATCGCCTGAAGCCCTGGAGGCTGAAGCTGCCGATGCCTCCTACCGAAAAGTCTTTGAAAACTTCCTACACAACACCATTTTTACGCCGAGGTAACCTACTTATGTTGTGATGTGACTGTAGAGCGGTTTTAACTTGATTTATTCTTTTTTTACTGTTCTGGAATAACTTTTGGCTCCTGTCAGAGTTCAGGATTGCAGCATCCCACTTTGAACCAAAAAACATCTGCAACACATTATTGCTCTCGGTCTCCACACACAAACATACACACGTCTCAGTCCAGTTGATGTAAATTAGCTCTCCGTATGCTCGGCATAAACAGACGGAGGAGTTGGACGCGTCTGCTTCTGAAGACCAACATCAGGTGACTCTGAAGACACCTTTTCCTGTTTAGTTCTTCTCAAGCAAACCGTGTGTTCCAGCTATGGAAATCACATCATCTCTGGTTTTTAGTTATTTATTTGAATTTTTTTGTTTTTCCCTTAAAGAGGAAAAACTAATGGGATTGAAGCTTGAAGTTTCCTCACTACTTAAAAAAAAAAAAAAAAAAGAAAATCCTGCAACCTTTTTTCATAGATAATGATCATTTCTAACCCATTGACCCAAATAACATAAAGTAAACCAGGTTTGGTATGTCGAGATGCAGCAGTCAGAGTTTTTTTGGGGGGCCAGATTTCCAATCACCAATTGTTGCGACGTGAACAACAACTTTACTTCTCATTTCTGGATAAATTGAAAAGTCATCCACCTTTATGATAAAATGTTTACGATAAAACAACAAAGGCTTTCTCCAAATATAACGCCTCTCTGCAAATTCAGCAGGTAGTGAGAGTGATCACATAAAAAGTAATCTATTTTACTTTCTCTTTTACCAGCAGCTTATGACTCGCTACTCTTTTATGTTTGTGCACACAAAATATTAAAATTCAACGTGTTACAGGACATCAGTTTTTCTTTCTGCTTCAGAATGCACTCACGTATAACAACTAACTTAATATTGGGGAGAAAATCCTCTGGTTTGCTATTATGGTAAAATAATTCATTCATTTGCTGTAACTCGGCTTTTAGCAGCTGTTCTACTGTATGTCATTAAAGGGGCGGTGTTGTGTATTTTCCAGGCAGACAATGCCATTTTATAGCACAATCAGGGAATGATGTATCAAATATGACTTGAAAGAAATTTGACTTTGCATCATAGCAGCAACTGACACCTTCAAATTGGTAGTAACACATACCCACTTAGTTTAATGTCACTCTTGCCGTCAGTAAACGTAAACTGTGCTTTTCTTCTCTGTTATTTCCGCCTCCAGGCCTCCAGATCGGCGTCGCAGAGATCTCTTTGGCGTCGCCAACTCCACCCGTTCTCGCCGCTTCCACCTTTACGCCAACAGCACTGCGATTCCCCCCCCTCAGGGCGGCGGCAACGGCAGCGTCCCTGACCCAGAGCCAACCGAACAAGAGTACGAGGTCATGGACGACAAGGTGACCAACCACGAGCTGCAGATAACCGGCCTGGAGCCTTTCAGAGTTTACCGCATCGACATCCACGCCTGCAACAGGCAGGTTCAGCAGTGCAGCGCGGCCGAGTTCGTCTTCTCCAGGACCAAGCCAGCAGGTCAGAACTTTGAACGGTCGTGAACACCACGGCAGTGTCTGACTGGAACTTTTGTACTGGTTTAGTTCTGCCGGAATACACAAGACGTGGTAAAATCAAGATTATCCTCTGCATTTCATTCTCCAGAAAAGGCTGATGACATCCCAGGCCCGGTGAGCTGGGAGGGCCATGAGGACTGGGTGTTCCTGCGCTGGCCGGAGCCCAGCCAGCCCAATGGTCTCATCCTCATGTACGAGATCAAGTTCAAACTGGCTGCAGAGGTAGGTCAACATCTATGAAGGGTTCTGACATTTTAGTAAACAGCTAGTTGCTGTGTATTTAATGTCAAAAAGTATTTACACCCTACTCCAAAATCAATAGAAACATTTTTATCTATTTTTAAATTGTTTTTGCACGTCTCCACTCATATTGTTATAGATTATTTTTTTATATCTGGTGATGAGCTTCTCTTTGCCATCACCCTGATCTTTAGCTCTTTCTCCATCAGATTGAAGTTGAGTCGCAGGCCGGACTGCTCCATTAATAAAACGTCCTATGAGAAGAAACATGTTGGCATCATTATACTACTTTAAACCGTGTTTCCGTTTCTGTTTGTGTTTGTCAGGCCGAGAAGCACGAGTGTGTTTCTAGACAGCTCTATCGCAGCCAGCAAGGCGTTCGCCTGACTAACCTCAGTCCTGGAAACTACTCGGTCAGGGTGAGAGCCACATCACTGGCTGGCAATGGCTCCTGGACCCCCACCCTGAATCTTTATGTTTCTGAAAGTAAGAAAAACAGTCTTGCTTTTTTTTTTTTTTTTTTTTTTTTGTTTTATTTCGTTTGTTTCTTTCAAAAATAAATACGTAAGAGACCTTAGCAGTCAGTTTCATCAAAGTGTTCATGTCAACAGGTTCTGAAAGCGTCTTCGCTATGATCTTTGTTCCAATCTTGACCATCGTCCTAATCTGCACTTTGGTGTCGGTGCTGGTGGTCTTCAACAGGAAAAGGTGCTTTTACATCAATTATTTTAGATATGACAAGTCAAAATTTGTTTGTTTTTCCCCAATGTTTTGCAGTTCCTTTGTGGCAAAAACAAAGAAAAAAAAATATTCTAGTTGAGTCAGGCCAGACTGAAGCCAAAGGAATTTCTCCTTTGGCTGCATTTTGTGTTTGTAGCTTTAGATTTTGTTTTACTTCTGTTTTCAGTAACCGCACATTGACATTTTTTTTTCTTTGACAAGAAAAGGCCGGTTCATGCGTTGCTTTTAAATCTTATTCATATCCCTGAAAGTTCTTCATGTCACTTTGCAAAACTGTCCTTCAAAAAAACAGGCTAGTTGAGACAAATGCACCAGGCTGAAGACATTTGTCATTCAGGTTTTTGTGGTGTTTGAACACTTCCATCAAGGTCGTTTAAATTATTCATGCGATTTCATTGATTTATTGCTCATTGCGGCAGACCTAATCTAGAGCATAAAATCTCAATACGATACATTAATGTTTGTGATTACAAACTATGAAAGTCTTTAAGAGAGATGTGCACTTTTTAAAGGCATTGTACTTAGTAGAATAGGAGATACGTTGTGAACTTCTAAAACCAACTCTTGTTTTCTCCCCCCAGGAACAGCGATCGGCTCGGGAACGGAGTCCTGTATGCCTCTGTCAACCCCGAGTACTTCAGCGCAGCAGAAAGTAAGTGACGTTTGTGTGCTGGACGTCTATCATTGTAGACTTTTGCTAACGGAAAACAATTTCCTTTTAAAGTGTATGTCCCAGATGAGTGGGAGGTGGCCCGGGAGAAGATTTCCCTCTGCCGGGAGCTCGGCCAGGGGTCATTCGGGATGGTATACGAGGGCGTGGCCAAGGGCGTGGTCAAAGACGAACCGGAGATCCTCGTTGCTGTAAAGACTGTAAACGAGTCGGCCAGCATGAGGGAGCGGATCGAGTTTCTCAACGAAGCTTCTGTTATGAAGGAGTTCAATTGCCATCATGTGGTGCGCACAAACAACACCTTAGGATGCTGTAGAGATGTCAGGAAAGTGAGTTTGAAATTGCAACCTGTTTTGGGGGTTTTTTGTGCAGGTGCGTCTTCTTGGTGTGGTCTCCCAAGGCCAGCCCACCCTGGTCATTATGGAGCTGATGACCAGAGGAGACCTGAAGAGTTACCTGCGCTCCCTGCGTCCCAAAGAGGTAGCACAGCTGCACAGAAATATTGATTCTGTTTAATTCAGAAATAGTGCTGCAAGTTGTTTTTATTCAACAAAGTCATTCAGTAAAGAGAGAGCCAATCCGCATCAATCACCGAGGGATTTCAGTTTGTACAAACAGCCTGCAGGTCATTTGGTCCAGGCATCTTTACCACAGACTCTGGAAGGATTTGGATTGTCATAACGGCATTTCTTTATGCAATCCCACATTGCTTCCATAATGTTTCAATAAGAGCTTTGCATGAAACACTCTTATTGTCACGTAGCACTCCCTCAACCTGTTGATAGTTGTGAATGTATGTTTAGATTCCTGCTGCTGCGTCCCTGAACGATTTACGGATAAGCTGAATTCTACCATAAAAGATTCTTTTAACCCTCTGATGGATTTGCCGCCCGTTTCTTGTCTGCAGCAACAGGTTTCCAGCCTGTCTCTCCCGCCGCTGAAAAAAATGCTTCAGATGGCGGGACAGATCGCGGACGGCATGGCTTACCTCAACGCCAACAAGTTTGTCCATCGAGATCTGGCCGCAAGAAACTGCATGGTGGCTGAAGACTTCACCGTAAAGATCGGAGGTATATATCGCTGCCTGAAGTGGATTAAATCATGACTTTTCTTAAAATCAAGCGTGCTTATTGGCACCATGTTTTGTTTTTTTTTGTTTTTCCATCATATTACTATTTTTCTCTGTTATGCCCTCCACCTTTCTGTTATATTATCCTCACCTTTATAGCAACATCAGTAATTTTTGGATGAAAAGTTGATGCTGCTCCATCATACAGCTCAGCTACATGAGGTGAAACTAAAGGAAGTTGCACTGGAGTGTTTATATTTCCAAACAGAACCACACAAAGAGAATGCTCCATCTTTCACTAAACTCTGCTTGGACTGTTCCTCCTTCCCGTTCTGGCATGGCCCTGCCATCTTTGTTTTTGTATCTGGCGCCGCTTAACAAGTGGCGCCCTCTTCTGGACAGCGGCCAAACAACAACACAGAAAGAATATCTAGCTGTTTGTATCCCTACATTGAAACTTTTATATCATCGTCATCAACATGCGCTCATCCCCATCCAGTTCTTGCCTCTCTTATGAGTCTGAGCTGATGCTTTCAGGTTTATTTATTCTGTGAGAGAACTGCGTGACCTCTTAGCCTGAAAGCATCTAGACCACTGCAGTTACTGCTGCGCACTTCAATTTTAAAAGCTTTCGTGGTTTTAAATGTCTGTAAAACTTGCATGGAATCTTCTCCAAAGGATTATGGTTAATTCAATACTATTTCTAGGACTATAATCTGACTAAAGAATGCCTTCCTGTCCTAAATGGAGCCACTCGACAGACAGTAATTACAGCAAGAATGCAAAAGGAAATTTGCTCAATATTTACTCGTTAAAATCGTGTTTTTTCTAATGCCTTAGGATTTTCTAATTGGACGCAACCTTCCTCTTTTTGCTGAACTGTGTCCTCTTCTATTTCTCTGCAGATTTTGGCATGACCAGAGACATCTATGAGACCGATTACTATCGTAAAGGTGGTAAAGGTCTGCTCCCTGTCCGCTGGATGTCACCAGAGTCTCTGAAGGACGGTGTTTTCACCACCAACTCGGACGTCTGGTAAGCAGGCGCACGCAAACCCACATGGGGACGTTGTTCTCTGCACACGGCGCTTCAGAAAATATCCTTCGGACTCCGTAATGAAAGACAGACTCAACCAACCTTCACAGCCCTTTCTACCGTTTTCCTCTGTGCAGGTCATTCGGGGTTGTTTTGTGGGAGATAGCCACTCTGGCAGAGCAGCCTTACCAGGGTCTGTCCAACGAGCAAGTCCTTCGCTTTGTAATGGAGGGAGGACTGCTGGAGAAACCGCAGAACTGTCCAGACATGCTGTAAGACACCACACGCACACCACCCTGCACAATTGCCTATTATGCTCCCATATACTTGTCTCTCTGTTTACCATGTTTCCCTTTACTCTGCCGTCTAATTATAAGTGACTACCAGCTACTCCCACCGTGCAGCAGTGCCGCTTGTGGCCTGTGAGATTTCTAAACAGCAGTGCTCACTGCAGTCTGTTTTACATTGTGCGTTTTTCTGTGCTTTGAAGTGTTTGTCTCTAATATGAAACAGGCCAAATATGATTCCACATCAAACAGCTTGCAAGCATGAAGGACAAATTTGGCCACCAGTGAGAAAATTCCAGAGACACAAAGTCATAGACTTGTTTTCTCCTGCATGAAGCGTTTTAGAATAACGGTTGATGTCTTCCTATTTAAATGTCATGTAGTTTGGTGACTTTGCAACTGATTTTGACAAAAAAAAAAAACAAAAAAAAAAACTTTGGTATACGTTTTACCAAAAAGCAAATACTTCATCTTTTATCACATCAGCGTCAAATTATTATCAGCGGCAGGATTTTGAAACAAATTGAGCATATGAATGTTTCTGTTTTGAAGAAAGAAAGAACAGACTGAGCTGCTCAGAACGAGAAAAGTCTTTCACAACTTTTTTCCTCAGTAACTCAACCTTGGCCTTGTAATTTTAAGATGTTCTTCTGGTAAAATTACATTTTTATTCTATTTATATTATGACTGTATTCTCGTAATTAGGCAAACATTCTTGAAACCGGGCCTTAGTCATCCATTGCACAACTCACAGAAGAGATGGCTGATGTTTTGAAAGTATTTTCTGTCGTTTGTAAATTTGTTTTTAGAAAAGAAAGTGACGGGGGGGGGAGTGATTAAAATCGGAAATCAAATCTGGTATGAAAAAAATTTGAGATTTAGTTATAAAGTCATATATCCCAGCTGTAGCTTCTTGTGACAAAGCACAGCTTTTCTCTACTGAGATTACTTCAGTAGCATATGCTGCTTATAATTATAACCAATATTCCTTTGTGTGCAGATTCGAGCTGATGCGAATGTGTTGGCAGTACAACCCTAAAATGCGACCCTCCTTCGTTGAGATCATCAGCAGCATCAAGGATGAGCTGGACCCGTCTTTCAAAGAGGTTAGTTTCTACTACAGTGCCGACAACAAGCCCGCCGAAGCTCCACAGCTCCATCTGGATAAACTGGACCACTCCACGGATGTTCCCCTGGAGCCCTCTTCGCAGCAGCAACAGCTGCAGCAGCAGAAGCCCCCGTCTCCAAGCTCAGAGGGGGCGCCTGCCCCGTCACAAGCGCCCGGCTCCCCGTCCTCTCCCTGCACGTCGAGCGCGGTCATGGACAAGCAGCCTTCGAGCCAGCAGGCGGCCAACGGACTCTCTGGGACTGGCCATCCCACGAGCTCGGGAGCCACAGTGCGGCCAAACCTGGACGAACTGCCGCCGTACGCGCACATGAACGGAGGACGCAAAAACGAGCGCGCCATGCCTCTCCCACAGTCGTCTGCCTGCTGATTGGGCAGAAACACGTACACCGTTCACCCACGGACCCGAAGAACCACATGTATGGGTGGTTGTCTTTTTTTCTTCTTTCTTTGTTTGAATCACAGTGAAGCCTTCTCAACAGGATATGGATGTGGATATTTTGAGACTTGCATAAAGATGGAAAAAACTTTCAAAGAGTTAATGTCCTGCTGTATGGCCGCACACTTTTCTTTTTTTTTTTTTTCTTTTAAATAATCTAGTATGAGTTTCTACCAGCTGGCTGTTATTTGTGATACCGCTCCTGCTGCTGAGTGGAAAGACCAAAAAGAAAAAAAAAAAAAGAAAAAAAAATCTTCAGTAAAATGAGAAATCATAAAAAAAAAATAATAATAATTTTGAGGGGAGTTATTTCACTCTTTCTGTGGCTAAACTTATTTTATAAATTGTTATTTGTTTTTTTTTATGTTTCTGAATGAGGAAACAAAACGTGTAGGCCTTTATGAATAATCAGCGTTGTTTGTGTGTGCTTTTGAACGGGCATTATGGTGGAAACATTAAGCATATCTAAAGATTAACAAGCACTAGAAGGAGGTCGCCAGTCGGTCGTTTCTGAAGCCGGCTGCCACGAGGGTCGAGGGTCGAGCGTCGGCATAATGCCGGGTCAAAAGCCAGTCCGCTGAAACAAACAATTGGAGAACAGTCAGCTCTGCCAAATCTGTTGCCAAACTCTTCTGCTTTCACATTTTCTTATCCTGTTGCTCCTCAAGATGCAGTCGTGAAAATGGAAGGAGAAACACAAACAAAAGCACTTTTGATCTTCCACCACATCGTTCATGTAGAGGCCAGACGGACGTCAACTTTCCTCAGCCGTCCTGCTCGGTTTTTCTAGTGCTGACTGCGATCTGCGGTTTCTCCACTCCGTCAGATCCCTGCGTAGACTTCAGTCCCGTCAGTTTACCTGAAATAGAGCCAGCTGCCACAAAGTGCTGTTACGTTGGGGTTTAACAGTGAATCGCGTAGCAAAATATATACGACAAAACACAAAAAAAAAGGAAAGGACTGCAGAGGAAGAGCAGTCAGGAGGAGAACATGAACGCCAGATCTGTACATCTGAGTTTTCCCCAAGGTCAGAGGCATCCTTGTTGTACACAAACAGGTATTTTTTTACACTTGTAAATACTTGCCAACATTTACATCTCTACATGTGCAGAGCATTTATGTACAAACCAGTTGTTTTTTCACTTTTTCTAACTTTTATACAGTCAAAAACTTTCATCATGTACAGAAAGAAGCTGCTATTCCTTATTTCTCTTGTGGTGTGTGTGTATGTGTGTATATATATGTGTGTACACACACACACACACAAATAAAGAACCTTCTTCAGGTTGGTTTTCAGCTCGGAACATTTTCACTCCAGTTTCTTTTTTTTTTTTTTTATGCTTGTCATTGCTTTGTTGTTTATGAACGGATTTTGTTTCTGCAATTGAGTAAGAGGTACAATAACTTGCCTTGCATTGAAAGACCCGTATCTTCCTCGCATCCCCTCTAGAGGGCATCCATGTTCTCTGGTCCTTTTACCATGAGATTCACAAGCCTGGTGTCCCAAATAAAATCTCAGGTGAAAGAGAAAAGCTAAATCCTTTTCTGCTCCCCTTTTTTTTTCTTCTTTATTTTCCTTTTTTTGTGCTGCTGTTACCCAGAGACATCCTACCTTGTGTTTGTCGTTCTGTGTCAGATTGTTTTATCAGTGTGAAAGTAATGTTTCTCGCCACAATGAGTAACAAGAAGTTTCCTGGTCTCAATCTTGTGGTTTGTCCTTGCCCAAGTTGTATGCAACCAAAACTACTGACAAAAAGTAGGAAAACCTTCAAAAGTTTTAGAATATAGTAAAAATATTGTGAATAAAGTTATCTGAATTTGGCAAAAAATAAATTAAAAATCCTTTTTGAGGGGGATGTATTCAGACTCTCTTCAAGTTGGCACATTTATAATTTGAGATTTCTTGCGCGGAAACTAGCTGCCTTCTATTTCATCAAGCAGCATCTATTCAGACTCTCTTAGACTTTTATCTGAACTAGCTTTTACCAAACAAAGGGTTTCCTAAACATCCTTAAAACGCGTGGATATGTAGTCTGGCTCAGCAGAAAAACAATTGCATTTCCAGACTTTTGTCCAGCCCCTATCTTGTAGTTTCTAGTTTTTCATCTTTAGGGGGTTAATCTGTGAAATTAATTGACTTTTAGTACGTTCCTGTGCACGTCATTTAGGTTTTTCACGTCGCTGACTGAGAAGCAACTGCACTGCACTTGAGTGTATGCATATATCAAACATCTATAATTCTGAAATGTGAATTTACAGGAACCCTAGACATACATTGGACTTCTTCTGACATAAAAATATCAATTTTGTGTTCATCTCAGCAGTGGCTAAATTGCAGCTAGCAAGGAATAGCTTACAATCCAAATGTAAGCAGTTAGAGCACCTTGTAAATGTGTCCTGTTGTGGTTAAATGTTGCTCACATATTAATACAAAATGAATATTTCATCTAATTTTAAAAACAAGAGATTTAATATTAAGAGCATTTTTTTTTTCTTTTCCTGGAGCTAATTGAGTTAACTGAGTAGTTTTTTTTTAGCCCTGTCTATATACACAAAGATTAACTTTAGTTCACTATATTTAAACATGTGAAACAGTTCAATTACTATTTAGTGTTTCACAGTGAAACAACTGTTTTCTTGGTGGGTTATCTCTGGTTTGTCAGAAGTTACATGGAAGCTAGAAAATGATGTGACGGCTAGAGAGCAGATAAACAGAATGTGCACCAAACTATAACATTTGCTAATAAAGGTGGAAACTGTGTGTTACCCCTTACATCTTTTGTTGTTTCCTACACATTTCAAATGATGTAAAGTGAATTTTTGGTTCGCCATTTTCTGATCATTTCCTTCTACTTTTTGTCAGTGTTTCGGTTAAGTTAACTTGCGGTCTCTAGAAATCAAAAAAGCCCTTTCTTTGTATTTCTTTGTATTCCATTTTGACTGGATCATCTCACTTGCCTCTCGATCAAAAGCTTTTTTGAAATATGTGGGCATTCAAGTGTTGAAGTAGCTTCTGTTCTTTCTTTTTCAATATTTTGTAAACGTTTGATGTGTTTGAAGATTTGTGTGACTAAATGGGACTGAATTTGCCTGCAGCATTCAGTTTTCTGTTGAAATGCTTCAATAACATTAAGATATTGTGACCTAAAAGGACTGACGAGAGAAATACACTATGAACCCCTTTTGTTGGAGAAAACAAAATCTTTTCTTCTCGTTTGAGCATCAGTAATAAAACATTGACCTATCTAATTGAGGACCACACGGAATAGTCTCAAAAGTGACATTTTAACTCAGTTCCCAGATGTTTTTGCTATTTATTTTTATTTTTGTGAAGTGGTAATCGCTGTACAAATCTTCCCTCGAGTTTTCCCTCCCATTTTTTTTCTTTTGTTTTGATCTCATATTTTTATGTTCTTTTGATATTCTGGGAGAAGGCTTTGTTATTACTTCCTTCAACCATCCATCTACCTCACTTTTTGTTTTGTCCAATCTATGTACTTGTATAAAACACAAAATATGTCATCTCGGCTGTTTGATCTCACTGGGTGCTGTGTAAAGGTCAAATTCAAACCACAAACCAAACCATCGTGGAAGCAGGCTAGGGCCTCCGACACATCAGACATTCTTTATGCTACTACTAGAGAATTCGATCTTTTTATATGGAGATGCTGAATATATATATATATATATATATATATATATATATTTTTTTTTTTTTTTTTTTTTGGGGGAGCTTCGGTTGGCTAATGGGCTCTTTTTGGGGGGTCTGTATTTGCTGATTCAAGTGAAACCTAGTGGAATTCAACATGAGGTATGGGATGGTTTCACTGGACCATTTCCCTCTACAACACTACATTGTCTTTCATTTGTTACATATATTATTCCTGAGTTGTAGCTTCTTTCTGCCCTGTAGCTGTTCCCACTATGATTTGATGACTGTAAATTGAAGAAATGTCTCTATGAGAAAGCGTTTTCTCTAAAAGCAGACCTGTGCTGTATTTTATCAAGCTTCTTGTTCTATCCTTTCTCAGCCAGTCTTGCTATAAAATACTAATCAATTTCTGAAATCAGGTTTGTTTGTGGTCTGATTTTTGCCAGATTTTTCTTTTTTTTTTTTTCTTTTTTTACCACTGGAACACCTCAGAGGTAACATAAAAACAGTAAAGTTTTTGTTTCTCTTCCCAACTCATCCCTCACTTTTTTTATATACATGTTACATTGACAGTTTGTTACATTTATTTTAAAATATGTAAGTTATTGATAGCCTTCCAAGTCCTGGATTTCTGTTAAAACAATTGTTTGGACTGATGTTTCATTTTGGTTTTTCTTTTGTACATGCTGTTGTAAGATTTTTTCTTGTTATCAATATATTACTGGGATAAAATGATTGGCTGAAGGAAAAGAGAATGTCTATTTCCTCGTTCTTTTCTTTTCTACACAAAATTTAAGATAAATAAAAAAATGTATGCAATTTGTGTGGTATGTCTTTATTTGATCCTGTTTAAACTATTTTATATTAAAAGGAAACTTCTGACCATGTTAGTCCTTTTGAGTAACATTTATAACCAAATTTAGGATTTTCTGTAATGCAGCACTTCTGTAACAAATTGGTATTGACAGGAAAATGTATGTTGAAGGAAAAACTTAAAATTATCACATATTTTACCTATTGTGACAAACGGCAGACCTGTTCAGGATGCCCAGTGATTGCTGGAGGTAGACACCAGCCTCCTTACATTAAATATGGCAGATGGATGGATGCTTTAGCATACTACCTGGGAGAATCCACCATCGGCAGGGGAATTATTGGTTTTAAACTCCATAAATATGAACATAGATGCATACCACATTACTTTGTATTGGTCTAGTACTTAAAATACCGATAAAACACGTTGAGATTTCTGGTTGTAAACAAACCAGAAACCGCTTTGCGACCAGATTCTCCTTAGTGCAGTACGGTTACTTACCAATTGGGGGCAGCAAAACCCCAGCGGCGCCATCTCGGCCTTGAAATAAAAAAGAGAAGAGTCTGTGCTGTGACGCAGGCTTGTTTACGACAGATGATTGCTGCTAACCTGGAGCTTCTTGTTTTGATGTTTAGCTCTTCCAGGGCTCACAGGTTTCTTCCGATAGATGACGAGACGATGTAGGCAGTTGCAGTGTCTTACAGTGGTCTCCTGCTACTAAGGTAAATAATTTTTGTTTTAAACTTTGTGTTTTGCTTGTAACCAATTAGCAAAGTGGCTATTGCAGGTCACAGTTCTGACTTGTTTATGCTGAAAAAGGGAAACGGCTGACAGGTCCTGCATGTATCATTGACTTTAACCTTTTGTTGCTCTTTCTAGCCTTATAGATACTGGTGGCTCTTATTTAAAACGACTACATACAAAATACTATCTGGTCACATTACTGCATGCAGCTGTCGTTTTGTGGTTTTACTTTCTCCCTTTTCAATCAAAGGGTCTCACAAGAGTAATGTAGGTGCCTCTCGGCGAATTTGAGTAGCATCTAATATTGCTTTTATTTCAGCATTTCATTTCAAAATGAAAATCATATTTTTATTTGAATTTGTGGCACAGATAGTGAGATTCTAAGAGGAGGTTGTTTTTTTTGTGCTGATATGTGAAAACTGAACCTATCTTTCCTATTTTGTTATACTTAATGTTTAATATTATCAGACACACCTTCCTAAAAGTTGTTTTTTGTTCATACTAGTCCAGAAAATATTTTCTATAAAGTTTCATCGTGGTTTGTTGGAATCCCGAAGCCTTATAAATAACTCTACAACCCCTTCGAAGCCGATAGATCTGGCCGTAGTATGTTGTATTTATATAATATTACATAATTAATCGGTATTTTGTATGGGTTTCATATTTTGGGCACTAAATTAACTTGTTTAAGAGATTCTAGTTGATTAAGATGAACCTGTCATGCTTGTTGACTTTCAGGAAACAGTGATGCCATAGGAGATTCAGGCGTTGTCAAGTGTCCTTCATCCAGGAGGGGAGAGCTTTCCTGAGAAATGGCAACTGAACTCCACGAGACTATATTCATGGCCAAGCAGGAGCGCCACAAAAACCTGTTCCTGAACTACAAAAACCTGAACATTTTTCCCGTAGAGCTGCTAAAAGATGAAGGACTACAGTTTCTGGAGAGGTTGTACATGAAGAGAAACTCGCTGACTACACTGGTATCCTCACAGCACCATCATTTGTGATTTTAAAAAAAGCACTCATGAATGACTGACGTTTTGTTCCTGTGAGATCACTTATAATTTCTGCTTTTGTCCTGTTTTTTTTTTTTTTTATCAGCCTGATAATCTTGCTCAGAAGCTCCCAAATCTTATAGAATTGTAAGTGCTCTTGTAATTTGCTCAGATATCTTTGTTGTATTTAAATATTTAATTTAAATCACGTTTTGTCTTTTGATTCAAGGTACCTGCACTCAAACAACATCGTCATTATTCCTGAAGGTAGGACTGCAGTAAGACCAGACAGTTGTGCCATTATTTCAAAGAAATTAGATGTAACTGCTAAACTAACCTTTTGATTTCCAGCTATTGGAAACCTGGCACGACTGCAGTCACTGGACCTGAGCAATAACGCCCTCCAGATGCTCTGCCCAGAGATTGGCCGCCTGAGGTCTCTGCGACACCTGAGACTGTCCAATAATCAACTCAAATGCCTTCCACCAGGTAAATGTTATTCCAGTTTTAAATTTACAAACAAAATATGAATTTAAAATACAATATTCTTTTATTAACTGAGCTAAAAATGTAGGGGAACTTCATGGTCTGAATGTTTATAACACAAAAATGGAAAGTAGTGAGAGCAACATAGTCTAACGATAGGTGTATTTGTTGTGCCATTCTGTGTTTTATACACTTCCCAGTCAACCTCCTGCAGAAAAGATTAGGAACGTTCTGTTTCAGGCTGATTACATTTTTTTTTTTTAACATGGAGAGGTGAAGACTGGAAGAAGTTCCACTTGCAGGATGTTTTGAATCCACTCTTTATTCAAGAATTGTTTGTAAATGATATCAAGATACTTTACTGTTGTACAAATTCATCATAGCACTCACTTTTTTCTTGACAAATTAGTATTTGTTTCAACCAATCAGAAGAATTCCTAAGAAAAAAAAAATCTATGTACTTATATAAAACACGAAATATGTCATCTCAGCTGTTTGATCTCACTGGGTGCTGTGTAAAGGTCAGTTTTCTCTTGTCCACCTTTGAACTTTCTGTAGGATTAAGTTTTGGGTCTTGATGTTTTGTTTCGACATTCATGGCCTTTTCGCTGCCATTCTTGGTATGATTCTGTTGTCTGTAAGGTTCTGCTTCACCTTGTATTCATGTACATTCACACTCTCCTTCCGCCAATGTTGAGAAAACTCTGCACAGGTGACAACCCACTTATTTAACACACTTATCACGGGAAATCTAAAGTGTTAATTTGTGTAAGTTCAAACCTTTTGGGCACATCCGTGCTGTTGAATCCCATGTGCTTGTCTACCACATGGGTGTAAAACCTCAGTTTGCCAGCAGATTGCGTCTGAGCTCTTCAGCCAAACTGTAGAATGAAGTTGTCCAGCACCCATAAGCTCATGTTTTGTCATAATGTTAATCTTCAGCAGTTATTGTACACTCTCACGAATTACATATGGCTATTTTTGGCCTCAAGAGATATTTAGTATAGTCCTTTGTTTTAAACTTTAAAGTCCCAAATAACCACTCTGTTCTCCTAATATTGATGCTTCCGCATTTGTTATTTTTCACTCAGAGATTGGTGATCTGCAGGACCTGGAGACCCTCGACTTGGCTATGAACCAGCTGATGTCTCTTCCAGACCGCCTGCACCGCTGCCTCTCCCTGCAGAACCTCACAGTGGACCACAACCTTCTGAGTCATGTCCCCCGCCAGCTCTGCTGGCTGCACCGCCTCAACCAGCTCTCCATGGCAGCCAATCGCCTAACCTTCCTACCACTCGGTCAGTATGGTGCTGTGTCTGCGATCAACTGCAGCGATTTGGATATCATGAGCAACGCATCGTTAATCGTCTGCCTGTTTTATAGATCTGGGCAGATCCCGAGAGCTGCAGTTTGTGTTTGTAGATAACAACGTGGATCTGAAAGGCCTTCCCTCCTACCTGTACAACAAGGTCATCGGCTGCAGCGGGTAACATCCTTAACACTGACAGCAGTTATTTCAGAAGAGTATTTCAACTGGGTGCAGACTTCTTACTTGGATAACTGTTAATATCACTAAGCTGAAGTGAAATAACAAAAAACTCTGACATTAGAGCAATTTTGATGCATATGAGAGGGTTTAGTGCGACACCGTCAGCCGACAAGCAAAAATATCAATGAGTGCCTGTGGAGAAATTGAGGTTTCACTTCAGCGCAGCCTTTTTTATCTGAAAGGGGAAAAAAAAAAAGATCTACACAACATCTTTCAAAGTATAAACTTCTAAGCCAGTGATGTTAAATTTCTGGTGTTTAATACAGCGCAAACCTCCCAAACACATGCATACCAAATGTGCAGAGTCTGCACTTTTTGGCATGTTGTAATGGTAATTATCACTTCAAGCTCCCTCTAGCACAGCTGCTCACTCGGGTATCAACTTCTCCTGTGGTGTGTGTGCAGGTGTGGCTTATCCTCTCAAGCTCTGGAGGGTGGCAGCATGGGTGAGTTACTGACTGAGGCCCTGGTGGGGCTGCCGGCTGAAGTGAAGGTGATTGGGTCGCACACGGATAACGTGGTTCCGCTGGAAGAGCTGGCTATGAGGACTATGCATCGTATCTACCATCACCGCCCAGCAGGTGGGGGCTGGCTGTAACTTGCCTTTATGATTTCTGCAGCCTCTGAAAAATCACAGTCTTTTGGTCATCTCAGTTTTAAAAAAAAGTCTTAAATATGTTCAGATTTTCTGTCTGTCCTCAGTTTTATGTAGTTACTCCTTCATTTTCTTAATTTGTTTATTTTTCCATTAAACTTCTTGTTGTCCTTTTGGAAGGAGTTTAATTGCCTAACAGTCAGTCTTTTTTGACAAATCTGTGAAAGCAGATTCATCATAAAAGTGATTCATTGCTGTTTGTTCAGGGAATTGAAATAAAAAAAAAACTTTCTGGCTCCATGACCAGCTCCTTTAGGGGATTCTGTTTAAGCAGATTGGTAACTCTGCAGCTCCTGCAGTTACCATGAACCTCTTGGCTGCTTCTATGATTGATGCTCTCCGTTCTCACCTTGTCAGTGGTGGATGACTGTCAGTGTCCCAACTTCTTCAAAATTTGATCCCAGAAATTAATTTATACACAGGAAGGCCCCAGTTACTAATATGGTGGTTTCCCAAATCAGTTTGTCACACCAGATTTTATTCAGGAGTATAAAAGTACAAAAAAGGGCAAAGTACAAATTCACAGCACACCTTTCTGATTTTTATGTGTGAAAAAAAGTTGTTTTTTTTCCGTCC